TGGTGATTTCAATAACGATACTCGACTAGATATCGTTGTCGCCAATTTTCTTGGCAATAATGTGAGTGTCCTCCTTGGTTATGACCATATAGTTTTTCTAAAGCAAATGACGCTCGTAACTGGAAATAGTTCTCAACCTCAATCACTAGTAATTAGTGATTTCAATAATGATGGTCTAATGGATATCGGTGTCGTCAATTCACTTACTGCTAGTGTTGGTGTTTTTCTTGGATATGGTAATATATCTTTCACAAATCAAGTTACATATTCAACTCATCCATACTTATTTCCATGTGCTATGGCTGTAGGCGATTTCAACAATGATACTCGAGTGGATATCGTTTTTGGTAGTTGTCGCTCGGAAAATGTTGGTGTATTCCTTGGATGTGACAATGGCTCTTTTGGACATCTAATGGCATATTCAACAGGTTCATATTCGTCTCGATACTCTCTAGCTGTTGGTGACATGAACAACGATACTATACAAGACATTGTCATCACGAATCATGACAACAACAATCTAGGTGTATTTCTGGGATATGATAACGGCACATTTGCAAGCATCGTCCTGTTTCCGTTGTACTTTGGATCCAATCCATTCTCCATTGTCGTTGGAGACTTCAACAATGACAGAAAACTAGATATTATCGTTGCCAATAATGGAACTGACAGTTTAAATATTCTCTTGCAGACTTGTTAGCCTTTCATCTGTTACTTTATGTTTCTTTTTATTACTTACTTGATTGTAATGTTCCTAGATTTAGAAAGAAGCTTTATTTAACCGTTCAAATGTTTCTCAGTTCGAAAGATAAATGGAGAAAGAGGGTGTTTTGAGCAGGTGGATGTGGCTGGGTGTGGGTGTAAGTATCGCCTCTTTTCATATAGGTATACCACACACCCACACCCACACCTCAAGATAATATCGATAAAAAATGGAAATCATACTTCACGATGACCTGATGAATCAATGTTTGATGATGAAATTTCACTTAATTTGATAGCTAAAGATGTTGATAATAAACAAAGATAATCAATGGACCAATTCAATGAAGTTTGTAAACATCCTTTTAACAGAACTTCATCGATTGGAAAATTTTCATCATTAATCATCGATTGAAAAAGATTTTTAACAACAATACATGATATTAATGGTGGTGGATCGATCTCTGTTGATACAGGTAAATCTTTTACGAACGTTGTCACAAGTTTTGTTCCCGTCTGTCGTATTTGTTCGTCATCATGATTTAAAAAATAAGAAAAAAAAATCTTTCACGTCAATTTATGCTAATTCATAATTTGATTCCGATGTTTTCAAATGTTTTGTAAATAACTCCTGAATTGTACGTAATAATAAATTCCAAAGACCTTTTGGATCAGTATCGTTATCATCTTATTGTTGAATATATGCATACTGTCATAATTTTGATAGAGGTGATAAATATGATGGTCGTGGATGAATAGTATTACTTGAATAGATAAATACTTTAACATCCGTCCATTTAACTTCAAATTCACCTTGAATAAATTTGAAATCACGATTGTTTACATTCGTCAGATAATCGAATTGATTCAACATTTGGTTTTTTTCTCAATACTACTTCTGTTTGAGTTTGTAAATTGTTTTTATCGGTTATTTGTACGGCAATTATTCGTTGACATTGTACAACAAATGATAACATCAATAAAAGACATTGATCAGCATTCAAAAATGTTTGTAAAATAAATTGACAACGAAATAATTGATTTAAAGTATTTTGTGGAGCGATTAATTCATCAACATTTGTATGCTGATGTTGTCTTGCTTTTTCAATGAATAAATCAAATTGATTCGTAATATCAATAGGATATTTGATATTGTCACATAATATATTGCATATTGGTGAATCAGGTGCAAAGGAAAATGGTTTTTCCGATTGGTAACGTATCTTATTTCTTGTAGGATTCTGGCCAATTAGTTTTCCGAGCCACATTTTTGTTGTCCATTTATCGATTGTTGTAACGGCTGATTTCGGTGGATACAGACTTGTACGTGAAATAATCGCAGCTATCGAAAATCGATGGTTTTCATTATTTGATACTGATGGATGTGATAATAATAAATCAAACAACTGAAAAAAAATGTAATGCATATATGTCATTGATCGAATAAACTCGATAACATGAAATAATCAATGTAACCATGATTAAGGAAATGAGTGATGCATCAACATCGGTATTGCCACCTTGTTGAATTTTATCTATTAAATATTTGAATGATTGAACAATGTTCTGTTCATCATCCATTAACGATTGAGAAAAATTTCGAAGGCATTCCAATGATTTTCGAATTAGTGAAGGATTTGCATCATTTAATAATTGAACAAATAAAGGGCTGAGATCTCGGACGATAGAAGCTGCAGCAATACGAGCCTGTACCATATTTGAAACCTCAAGTAGACCAATGTATCAGAACATGTGTGAAAGATTTATATCTAGAAAAAACTTGGATCAATACGCATCACTCTGGATTATGGATCTAGATTCATCAATGATAAGTTTCTTATAATAATTTAATTCAATCAGAGAGTCAATCCAATTTATCGTTTCGGTGGACAACGATAAAAAAGTGTACAATCTTTTTCTATTCCATATACGTCTACGTTTTTATTATACGTTCAAATCTAGTACGTCTAAATCAGTACGTCCAAATCTATACGCACATTCTACAGATGTTATGCAGGGTGTGGATGTTGGTGTGTGAGTGTGTGTGGGTGTGGATGTGTGGGGTGTAGATGTGTGGATGTGTGGGTGCGGATGTGGATCGCCTGTTCGCCTACACACCCATCCACATCCACATCCAGACATGCTCACACCCACCTACACCCACACACCCACCCACACCCGCAAGATGAAGACGCATTCAGTCGTATAATATAGTTTTTTTCAGAAGGTTTTTAAAGTTTTGATAATGAATTTTCTAAAAAAAATGCCGATAAATTGAGTTCCTATTTTATGGGAAAAACGCAAAAAAGTGATTTTTTTTCACAGAAATTAATAAGAAAACTGGCTAAGAATTTCCACTAGGACACTTATAACTTCTGAATGGATAGATCTATACATCTCGGTCTTGTGTATAATTTGTACATCTTCTGTTACCGATTCAAACGCACATACAATTATTGAAAAATCATTTTAGTCATCTTACAGAATATGTTGATTTTCAAAAACGTCGCTATAAGTCTTTGAAAAACTATGTCAAATTATCTTATAATATACAGTTCGATGCATCTTCATCCCCCTTTTCCAATGATGAAAACTGCAGCTCTCTATCTTGCTCCTATCAAAAGTTACTCGAAAAAAATATCCACCGGCCTTTTTTTTCTGGATGGGCATTAGAATAGCCATT